GGACTTGGATAATTCTGTTCCCTTTTTTTTGGACTCCAGGGACACTATACAGCGAGTCACCTCCGTACCCGATCATTCACCTGGTGCTCTCGCTGGTAACCCCTGTGTTTTTGAGCCCTCTGATTCAGGAAACGCTCGCAGCGTTTCCTTTGGTTTAGCGGATATGACGGTGTCACCCGTGGAGGTAACTGAACCTAAGACTGTTATTTCTCACCAGACTCATCTACACACTGCTACTAGCATTGTAGCCCCGCAGAACTGTGTTACTCCGCCCTTGGACTCTAGGGTTTCCCGTTCAGAGTTCAGCCATACACCGGTAGCATCATTAGCTCTAGATATAACGGTGCATGCTGAGGAGCACAAACCATCAGAGACCATGTGTTCTATAGCTAATGCTCCTCCTAGTGACTGTTTCATGTTCCAGCCTATTTTCTCTTTAGACATTCCTGATATTTCTCAGCCTACTCCTCAACCAGCCACTGCCTTCGCGGCTCCTCAGAGAGTTACTAAGAACAAGACCTGTGTTGCTGAGCCAGCCAACTTAACATCTACGCTTAGCGTTCTGCCTGAGCCAGGTGACACAGAGACTAGTAGCCATTCCTCTGCCATGAACAGTGTAATCTTTAAACCAGCTCTTGTATCTGTGACTCCCAGTGTTGCTCCTTCAGTTTCTCAGGCTGTGGTTTTTCCTGTGCCACAACTTGAAAGTGCTAACTCGGACGCTACCTGTGTAAACTCACCTTCTCTCGTGCCTGCTAAGGTCAAGAGCCGCAGGATTTCATCTGCTATACATAGACTGGCAAATGATTTTGGTTTGAGCACTGCAGAACTGTTTGCACAGGTTAAATTCTCTGTTCCACACTCATGTCAGTTTAACTCTGTGCGCCCTGCTTTTCGGGCAGGTTACATAGACTCTATGTGCACTTCGTCTCGTGCTACATTCTGTACCGCTGTGTGTAGTGTTGTCTCACATTCAGGTTGTCCTGACGCTGCTTGTGTGAGTTCTCCTGTACCTGTGGCTGCTCCTGGACTCACTCATTCTAAAACTGCTAATTGTGACATGGACAACTTAAGTACAGCAGAGCTGCTAGAACCAGCCCACCATGAGTCGCAGTTTGCTGACACTGTGTTTGGCTCCAACTTAGTTCACCCAGTGACTGTT